CTGTCGGTCCCACCGGGACAAAGCGCGTTGGTGATTTACGAGCACTGTCGTCAGATGCTCGTGACGCGATTACATTCGAACCGAACAATCGATTCCCCCATCGACTACTTGGTCGCAACTCGCGCTTTGTTTGGCGGGAAATTCTAATAGGTTTGATAATATGTACTGTGCAACTCTCTTTCTCTTTCGATAAATGTTTTGTTAAATTTCCGCTCTATTGGGATGCCCGACAAACGAACGTCTTATATCGACGAGCTAATTATCTGAACTTGGAAACTGCATTAAGGCGGAAAGAAGGCAAAGCCGTCTCTGCATTATTCCGTGAATTACACGGAAATTCGAAATTTCATTAAAACAAGAGTGCATCGTCTTCTTATCGGATCTTATAATAGGATGCCGTTAACAGAGATCAAGGTATACTCTCGACGAATAAGAATCCTACGATCTACCTCCTTCGTTTAATTCTCGATCTATCGCTACCGTCCTTCTCTAGCCATCTAATTAGCATTCTCCCTAAGGTCTTGTAATTAGCTGTGGAATTTAAAGAATTCTCTAGTCTGTGAGAAAATACATTTTAGACACAAATTCGCATAAATAATCCGCAAATTATTAATCAATGTAATCAAAGTGCACAATTTTCATATTTATTGGAAATATTTTTAAGTTCTCAATCTATCGATGTGTCGATAGCCTATTACAGTTGCTTGTATTATCGCACGTATTAAGGAACACAGAAACTTGACAAACTTCATTGAACTCCTGCGAGATTGTTTCGGCGTATTATCGCGATAATTGCGGCTCGTCGACAAAGATCAGGCATCGGCACTAAAATGAGCATAAAACCACGCGAAAGGTCTTTCGCGTCCGCTTAATTTGCAAGGCATTAACCTTATTATTATGGCGGTAATACGGCCGCGAGTTTGCCGGGACGTGTATAGGGGGGGGGGGGGAGGGGGACTGCACGCGAGCAATCTTTACAGCCTTCTCGGAAATGAAAAGTCGTGTGCCCCCCTCGCGAGCGCACGACACTCGTTCTTCATTTTTTCTCCTTCTACATGAACCCGTGCTCCTCTTTCCTCTTTCTCTCCTCGTTCCTACCACTCAGCACGCTTCCCCTTTTTCTGAGTTTCTCCACTCGTCCTGACTGCATGTTGAGCGCAATTTTTACGGCAATGGATGGCAGAAATTGCTTCATTCGTAACCATCAACATGATGCAGTTTTTCGCAAGACCGCCTTTGTCGTTCACTTTTGTATTGTCTACCGTCGTCGGAATGTTTCGCTCGCGAGACAAATGCATAATAATTTTTCCGCTTAAATCATCATTTTTCAGTACATCTGCTCGAGCAATATTCGATATTTTAAATTGGGCGGGGACTGTCTACCGCCGCCATCAATATCCATAAAACAATAATAATGTCTGCAACGGAAAACGACATGACGTAAATTCGATATCTTGAAAGATCTCGTCCACGACATTACAGATAGAGATTAGATTTACTCGCGAATTTCCGGATAAACCCGCGTGCACAATGCCGCGCGTCGGCGCATGTATGTGTGTACACGGTCGTACATGTACATTATCTGGGAACTTTGCCAGAATCCGATAATTGAGATCCGAAAACATTCTCTGATGACTCGCATTATCGATGTACGTGAAAGCCGAGAGTTCAATTATGCATGGTTAAGACCATTCAACAGTTAACCAACTCATATTTGGATCGGTTACCAAGTAATGTGATTCTACTGCGCTTTGCGAGCATTGTAAAGTTATTGCATTGTTACAAATGAAGAACAACGGAATGAAAAGCTTGCCTAACCGTATTATTTTTCGCAACTTAAAAATGTATCAATAAACCGTAACGTTATTTGCGTTGAAATATGCAAATTATGTAACTGTGCGCATTATTTATTTTTTGATCAGTTATTTACATTTATATTGCAACGAATTTAGAGATGCAAAATATACTTTTCAATCCAAACGAGAGATAAAATTTATAGTCTAGAAATTAAACCTTCTAATTACACTCGCACCGAAAATCAAATTTCCTTTTGTGTACTCGTGATACACTGCCAGCCACTCTCTTTCCCGCACGCGAGAAGATTTCTCAAGTGTATTTGAGGTTTTCTCTTAAAACTGACCTAAATATGATTAATGAATATACAGTTCTATAAATTCTGATATCCGGTATAATGATAGTAAAATACATAAAAAGTACCTAAAATGAAATGTAATACAAGTATATGTAAGTAAAATAATTCAATATTCAATATCGACTTTCTGGTCCAAATGCACTCAATAATTTTTACTATAAACTATAAAATTTCCAACTTATGACTAAAATATCCAAAATACCCAAGAATAAAAATATTGAGAGCGAGTATTTGAAATATTTAAGTATTATAAAAAAATGTCACTGTTCTAAGATAAAAGAATGATTGCTAAAAAGCACAATCTCTCTTGCAAGAAAACTTGATACATTTTCCGAAGACCATTCGTTCTGTGTATGTCCCGTTGAACACAGTGCTATTTACAACCAGAAGCGCTCCCGTTCGCATAAAGGCGAGTTCCCGAAGGAGATTCAGCTTACCGCCCCCACCGATCTACCCTCTCGCCAACTGCGCCGCCTCCGGCGGCCTACCTGCGAGGGCGAGAAGATTTCTTAAGCGACGACCGCGACGACGTAGCACTCCCACGAGTTGCGCGGGTTACAGTTAAAATAGAAAGCGCGGTGGCGGTACATTTGCCGGAGACTAGTGCTATTACTACCGGGAAACCGGGCGAGTCGTGAGGGGATGCAAAATGATCTCACGAGGGAGACGAAGTTCCGTAAGAGTAGCCGGTCGGCTATACGGCTCGAACCGACGGTTTGAACCTGGGAAAGAGGGTCAGGTCAGGTCGACGCGCGCGAGAACTGGTGCGCCGCCGTCGTTGCTACCGCCGCCGCCGCCGCCGCCACCGCCGCCGCCGCCGCCGCCGCCGTTGCCGCCGCGCTGGCTGGAGAGCGGACCTGGATCGCGGGATTAGATTGCTGCAGATGGGATGCGAGAGTCTGGCCGTATCTCGAGAATGCCAATTTGATTTCGGTACGAACGGCGGAAGACCGGGCCGGGAGACCGTAAAGTATACAACAAACGCAGCGGGCGCAACGAACCCTACATCGCGACCGAGAGTCCGATCCTGAAGTGCTTTCTTCAAGAAGGCATGTGAAAACGTGTGCTTTTGCCTCGGTGCATAAGTATGACGAGACGTTACGATACGACGAAAATTTCATGACGGCCTCTTCAATTATTTTGTCGACTCAGCTATCGTGCGCTACGCCGATTTATATTATCGCAGCATTTGATTGTCATATGAATAGGTTGACTTTGTAGATGAATATCGAATGACCATTAAGAAGGACATAAGAACTCGTATGGAGAGCTCGGAAAGTGAATCCGCCGACTTTGAAGCATGCGGAAAACTGAAGCATGCGGAGAACTGAAGCATTCGAAAAATAACGAGTTTTGAATCGCCCGCATCACTGATAAAAGAATTTTGAGAAAAGAGCACGGATACATCTTATCTCATTTCAGTAACTATGACGAGGTATGCTGTATAATATTGTATAATACAAATTTATTTCTCTCTTTGTATTATGGAATATAAAAGTAACATTTCGCTTTCTTCTATTTCAAAAATAATAAACAATAACTTTTTTAACAATAAAATGGATAATTACACACGTATCTGCGAATAAAGCGGATTTATTCACTGCAAAAGTAATAAGAATAAGTATTCACATAACGTTGTAATGTTTCGTTCATAATGTTTTATATGCAAATAAATTGAGAGCGATTGTAAAATGTGCGAGAAATTAAGTCAACTCACTTGTAAAAAATATATCTCGTTCAATATTACACCAGCGGAAGCTGCGTTATTTAATGTGCATAGCCAGGCTCCGACTCGCATGCATCCTCCACGATCGCGCACGTACACAACCGCAATCGCATATCTCCGACGCATCATCCTATTTCCGTACAATTACGAGTAACATTATCTATGGAAATTGCCACTTACTCGCGCATGATGCGCGCAAGGATTAAACCTGGTGCATTCAAAACCTTAACGTGGCCTTTAGTATAAATAGCGAACGATCTCTCTGGCAAATGGCGAATTTCATCATTAATGTAAGAGAGCATAACGAAAGCGCCGGCTTGGGGAAACTTCTCTCAAGGAAAAAGGAAGGGAAGAGTGGATGAGCGAGGGAGCGAGGGAGAGGGGAGATTATGATACAGCACGAGCGGGGAAGAGTCGTGCGAAACCCGAAACGAAGTCGCTTTAACGATGGAACCGATGAAAGCGGTCCTATTAGCATTCTATATAATCTACTTGCGAGTGCATTCGAGCAGCGATACACGGCTGCAGCTTTGCAGTTTGGGAGTACTCGCGTAGTCTTCGAACTGCGGCAAGAGCCACTTTGTAAGTTGTACCAAGCAAGGACCTTCGCGGACTAATTCGCATCGGCCGAAAGTTCGCATTGGTTTGGCGGATTTGTGATTCTAGTGCTCCCGCGCCTTTTCGATGCTCGCATCGAACGGCGGCGCGTATTCACTCGACGGACCGCCGCTCACTTCGCTATTAGCTTCTTGCAGTACTAATTGAATACCCTAGTCACAGATATACACGGAGCGAATATAACGGCAACGGACCGGCGAGAAACTGATATCGAACGGAAATGGAAGCGGCTTTATTTCAAGTCCATTATTTCAATAACGCCCGTTTTACTCGCCCGCTAACACAATTACGCGACAATATTAATAAATGAATGAGAATATAATAATATAAATTCGAGGGAGTGACAAATTAGTTTTCATCTAGTCTAATGGGGTATAACGAGGCGAGGTAATAACGATCGATATTTCACGGGAGAATATCTATGAAGCGGGAAGGACGATAGAGATAATCAGAATAATTACAGCCGGTCTATTAACGAGCGAAACGAGATGTAGTTTTACTCACCGACCACTTCAAGATAACCGATCTGGCTTTTCATGGGGTCCGTGTTTATCTGGCACATATACCAGCCTCGATCGGACTCTCGCACCTCGCGTATGTGAAGGAACCATGTGCGGTGGTCGCTGTGGGAAACCGCGATCCTGTGATTCTTCGTGATCACATGGCTCGCTATCGTCAGGATAGTCTGCGTGTCAACGCGCAACCATGCCACCTACGAAGCATCAAATGAATATTAAATAAATATGCATTAGGGCAATATTCAAATAGCACACACACATATATATATATTAATGAATATTATAACTTATATTAATATTTGAATCGTCAATAGCGAATTTCCAGTTGACTTAAAAAGTCTTCGAGTTTTATGTTAAATAGAGGAAGAACCTATTCGGAGGTATTATTAAATAATATACATAAAAGACAGCGCGAAAAGAGAAATCAAAAGAGAGAAGGAAAATTCGCCTGTATTTGATTTCTGATTTATTATAAATAAAGTTATATCTCCATTTAAACTTATCGCAGAATTTTTTATATGTAATCTTCATTACTTTAAAGTGAATTAAAATCTATATATAGCGACTATTATATATTTATATATATTTATATATAGCGACTATATAATACAGAGAGTGGTATATATTTCATACGATATAGTTAACAATAAATATTCGCATTCTCGTTAAAAGAAAGAAGAACTGCCTCCTTTTCCCGTGAAGCGCGCAGCCGAAACCGACATCCTCGCTTTAATTCATAAGTCTCCAGCCGACTTTTGTATTCCAGTTCAACGGAACACCGTTCTTTTCCCGCCGTCTACCTTTTCCCAGCGTTCGCCTTCGGATTATTCCCCCTCGGTTCGTCCGGTCCGTCCATATCAATTATAATTTTTCACAGTGCGGTCGCTCCGTCGGAGAAATAAAACGCCGCGGGATCATCCGGACGGCCATTCCGTTATTATATTATTCCAACAGTTTAATGTTCTTTTATTCACGAGTTATTCGCGCCGCGTCTCGTATAAACGAGATTTCGCAGATAATTGCCCCTGGTTTGTTGCATACTGTTCGCGCCCGGCAGCCGATCAAGTAATTTATAGTAATTTAGCGGGCGTGTATCAGGCCGCGGTAACGAAATAAACCGCGATGAATTATGGCGTTAAGGAAATTACGTATAAGTCACGAAGTTATGGCAACGTATAGCGAGCGGCCTGAACTCTCGAGAAGCACGACAAGTTTATTCGTGGTATACATCATCGATAAAACGCTCCGTTTATTGTCGTCAGATTTTTATTAAGCGCCCCGAGTATTGCTGCTATTGATCGTATTTGTACATGTAATATATATATGTGTATGAAACAATCGGCGAATTAATTAAGGAAAAAACCCCGTTCTTTGTGCTGCATGCTCTTTATATTACATCGCAATATCCACGCAAAAATTCGCGAGACAGGCACTATTGACATGAAAATAAATCTACGAAACATTCTTAACATTTCTCCGCCGCGCCACCGTTTACCACGCCGTGCGCGATTCCGCCAAGCGTAACATTCGATTACGCGATCGGCAGGTCTTCTTTGTGGCGCGAGCTGGCAAACGGGGGAAAAAGAGGGAAGAGAGGGTGCTTCCGGCGTTCTTTAAAGTAAATCATACGCCCCGGCCGACGAAACGCGCGAGTCTGCCCGCGGGACATTAAACATCATGCGCATGTCATCCTAGAAATTATAACGTGAACGGATATCCGCGAGAATAAATGTTTGCGCACTGAGATAGCAATTCCATTACCCCTGTGTGCCTTTGAGGATGCCTTGGGGGAGATGCAGCGTGTGCTGCGAACGCGCGAACGTGTGCACCGCATGTGAGACGCGCGAATACGCGCCGACTGCTCGGCCAAACGCGCGCCCGCAAAAGGCGGGCAAGAAGTTACAAATACACGATCCGGCGAATGCATCGTGTGAATAGCTCCCGCCGCTGTTGCTCTTTCGAGCGTGGAATCGGATTCTTCTTAACGGTCCGATTCAGCGCATAATGAAATTCGACTCGCTTGCGAATCGTGAATTTGCTTATCGCTCGGCCGGGTAATTTGTGCGAACGCAGCACTTTGATTCGCTCTTTCAAGAAGGCGTAATAAATGTTACGCTGCAGATATTTCCCGCCGCGGTAACTCAAATATTAACTCTCTATAGAGCGCTAGAGTACGCTATTTTATTTATCGCTCTATGCGACTGATACACGGCCGATGGTGAAATGTCAGTTGAAAGAAGAGTGATATTTTATCACTCGGAAAGTGCAAAAGAAAAAGCAGGAATTTCTTTCTTCCTCCTAAATATCGTATGTTGTATATCCCTTTAGTGTCAAAGTTTTTTGACAGGTCTGTATTAAACATTTATTCGCGAGTAAAACGCTTCTCTTCTTTTTACTAGGTAAGATAGAGAAGAAACAAAAGAAGACAGACGCTAGGGGCTTCGTCCATAGATCACCACGTAAAAACGTGTTCGTTATATCCGCGCGCTACGCTCCGTTAGTTGTTATCGCGCTGGAACGAGTTACGGCGGCGTGAGCGATTGAAAATGGAAGTAAGAGGCCTCTCAACTAAATGAATTTCAACAGGCCTGCTTTAATAATTCAATTTCGCTTTTCACCTTGAGCGAAAGTCCGATACGTCAAAATGTATCCACGCGTCGTCGGAAGCAGAAAAATAAGTACATGAAATTCGCATCAACTGACATATTACACCGGAAGACACTTCGAACCAAAGGACGCTTCATTAGCGAGTTGCCTCTCAACTCTCGACCTTTAATCCCACATACGACTGCGTCGATTACTCGGTTAATTATCTCAGATGACGCTACTGCAAAGTCACCGGTGTGACGGAAAGTAGCGAGAGGAAGAGAGAGAGAGAGAGAGAGGGAGAAGATCCGGAACACGTGCGTCTAGCACGGTCGGACTCTCGGATGCAGATATCAAGCCAGGCGCCTGTAAATCTGCCAGGGACCAGTGTGAAACGCTGGGTGGTTGGATTAGGAGAGGTAGAGGTCGAGAACTGGTCGACCACCTAGTCGGAAGCACCGCCATGAACTATTGCATTTGATATCCACACCGATGAATGGAAACGTTGAGCGCTCCGTCCAACGCGGTGCCGCCATCTCTGACCACGATGAACGTGAATGCAGGTATAATGCCCCGTCGTGCTTCCGCCAACTATGATAACCAAGTATTTACGGCTGCGCCCATCGCGCGAGTTTCTGTAATTTACGGAGACTCGGAGAACCCGGCCCGCGTCGGCGACTATGTGTTACACTCCACGCTTTTTCCGCACGAAATTCACGACTCTTCCAGATCGGCGACAAAGCGCACTGTCTGCGCTACAAGCTTTCGGATATGGCATCTTTTGTAATCCTTTCATCGAGAAATCGAGAAATTTAATAGTTTTATGCAATACAAATTTCTTAAACAATTCAGTTTCAATTACTGTTTCAAAAAAAAAATCGAAGCAAATAAAGTAATTCCCTATTTCTAAATAATTAATTTGTGATATTCGACTTTTTAATTTTTATTTCTACAATATTTGAGACACAATTTTTAAAAATGAATAATTCTCGTACCGTAATATTATCATTTCTTTATCTCCACATCAACGTAGCATAAAATTGCAAAATTCCACTGAGCGAAAGCGCTTGCTTTGAAGTTCGAATTTTTTATAATTAGTGCATTGAATTTTTAAAGCTTGTAATGTGTTGATGATATATATATTCTCTTTGTCGTTTATTTCGCTTCTAATTATTATCTCTCGTTAGGGCTTGCAATGTAACCACAATCTCGGAGAAAACCTTCTAAATGTTCACACAGGCCGTATACTGGCGCATCTATAACTTGTTTCACGCGACAGCTTTCCCGACTTTTCCGACGTATTCCAGGATACATTTGGCTCAATTTCTACTTCTCAATTTCCGGCCGGAGTTGCTTCCTCTCTACGCGACTCGCCGTTCCACGGCGGCTCTCGAACTTTTTGACAGGTCGGCTCGGACAGGGATGCGAGTGGAAATTTCGACAAACTTCGTTCGTGCGAGCAATACCGCGATCTTACGGTCGAAGATTAGATTCGTTGCGAAAACCGAGATTAGACTAGACTGGTAAGATTAATTTTCCAAGAGCGTGTATACGCGCGTCGCGAATGGTCGACGACGACGGCGGTGGAGGTGACAGTTCGGAAAGGCGCGTATACGAGAGTTTTACGACTTTACACGAGAAGTCCATCTTGGATCGTATATTTCTACACCCGTGGCATTCAGACCCGTGTCAGAAAACCCCATGTCGCGAGTGCCTTAAATCAATGCCAGTCGACACCTTTGATTAGCAACGATTTCATAAACCATCAAATCGCATACAAATCACGAGCGAGTTTCTCATTAGTGCGTATTTATAATTGAAATTCGTGTAAGATAACTATCGTGAATGCTTAATAAATTAATTTATTTACCCAAAAACGTTACTACATTGAGCACCCACTATTATAAAATAGAATACTGAACTTTCAAATCTTTTTCATGTTTTTTTAAAAAATTTTTTTTTTTCAATTAGTTTTTTACGCTCTAAAAGCGGTAAAAATTTTAAAATTTTGCAGTACTTGTGTACAGTTATGTTTTAATATAAAACAGAAATAGTAATGAAGTAGGTTTCGAGGATTTTTCCATTTCGCGATGGCACGAGTAAAAGCGAACTAAATAAAAGCTAAAGGATCATACATAAAGGCCAAATAAAGGGCTTCGAGCCGCGTAATCTTCTGGCAACGACCCGTCATAAATTCGTGTCTTCACGCGAACCACGCGAAATACGAATACATGTACGAAACCACAGCGTGAGTCAAACGAAATAAAGCCGAGGTAATTCCGGAATTCGAAGCTTCTTACTCAGGCGGAATATTAACTAAGTCCGCGTGCAAACAAGCGCTGCGGCGATCCGGCTTGATATAATTTCGCGCGGAATTGAATTCCAATATGCCACTTTCCATTTGCCGTTATAAGGACGATCCGACGTTATAGTTTTTTTTTTTTTTTTTCTTACCGCAAGCGGGAATAATCGGTTCGAACGACGGAAATGCATTCCACGACGAGGCACTTCGAGAGGATCGGGATTTCATCGCCGTTAGCAGACGTTCCGCTTCGTTCCGGCTCCGCTAAAATAAAGTTAGTGAAACGCTAACCACCGTCGAGTCATC